TTTCTTCTTGGATTTCTTCCCAAGTTCTCACACCAAGAAGACCTCGAAACCCGCTGAACATGGCAAGGTAAATAGGCTTGGTGAGGAAATCATCCACTTGCTCAGCTAAGGGAACAAAATTAGTAACCAACTGATTTGCATAGACTCTCTCTCACAAAGTGAATGTCGATCTCAATATGTTACTGTGAGCATGATGAGTTGGGTTTGTTGCCATAGATATAGTGGACGTGTTGTCACACCATACAATTGACTTTCCAATCATTTCAACACCAATCTCAACAAGCAACTGCTCTATGAGTTCAGAAACTGAGTTGGCATGACTCTTGTACTCTAATTTAGAGGTGGATCGGGAGACAACACTTTGCTTTTTGAAGCTCCATACGATTGTTGCCAAGATATATGCAATAACATGTAGTGGACCTCCTATGTTCAACCGAGGTTGCCCAGTCAGCATCGACGTAACAAAAAAGACTGAAATTTGCAGCAGCATCGAAAAACAATCCATAATAAAGTGTTCCACTTAGATATCTCAAAATTCTTTTTATTGTTCACTAACGTGTGTCACATGGATTGTTCATATATTGACTGACCTTGTTTATAGAGTAAACAATGTTTTGGTCTCCTTAAACACATATATTGAAGCCCACCTACTTGAAGATGCTCGGTTTCGTCCGGGGACTTCGTTTGAGTTTTAGATCCAGTACAAGTTACAATGTGGATCGGTGAGAGCCCAAATGAGTCCAAGCTAGCTGGAGGCCCGTCTCAAGCCCAATGGACAGTAGTTGCATGCAGAGAATAAAATAGAGAAGTTAATGTTGGTTTTTGGCAGTTTGTAAAGATATACTGGGGCAGTGGGTTTATTTGAAAAAAAAACACTGAAAACGGGAAGAGGGGGAGATCACACAAAAGGAGCAAAAAAGTAAACAAGAGGGGGAACACAGACAGAACGAAAAGGAGAGAACAATTTGTAAAAATTTCTAGTTCACCATTTTTAAAGCAATAAAAGGAAACAAATTTTTTTTTTTTGATTTCACGGTTCCATTCAAAGGAAAGCATCAGTCATTCGCAAAGGCCATAGCATTTTCTCGAGCAAAAGCAACACCAAAAAACAGAAAGTATTAACAAGGGGAAATCATAATAAAGGAAAGCTTTTAATAGGTATTTTATTTTATTTTACTTACTTCTTAGTAACTATTTATGTATGTGTGTGGTATTTGTTCTGAAAGAAAATAAGGGTCAGAAACTCACCCATTTGAGTCACTGTGGCTAACACCGAAGCATTGAGAATTATTCGGAAAGCCTTGCATGTAGATTATTTGAATTAGTTCTCATCTTTCGGGATATTAAAATGAAAAATAGAGGTAAATTAGAGGGTTTAGTGTTTATCTTTTTGAGCCAACAGGTGAATACCTTGAACTCATCCACCATTCGTAAGAGTAGAGGTGAGGTCTTGAGAAATTAAAGAAATAGAATAAAGAGAGAGAGAGAGAGTGAAAATCTTTTACCTTTGTGTTGAACCATCGTCGGTGTTAGTGGCTAGGAAGGAATCGATCGAGAGAAAAATAAAGGGGATGAGAGAAGGGAGTTTTGGTCCGGTTGGAGGTTTGGTTTTGGGTGTTTCCGCTAAGGATTTGTGGTGGTTCGGGTAAGAATGGCTACTTTCGGTGGTGGCCGACGCTGTTCTGCTGGATTTTGAAGTGATGGTGGTCCTTGGTTTTGTCGAATATAGGAGAGAGGAGAAGATGAGTGGAGAGTGAAGATGAGCGTCATGCGGCTGAGTAGTTATTGTAATATTAGGTTAGGTTTTTGTTTTGAGAAAATAACCTCAGTGACCAAAAATGCCTTATAATATACGATTTTAACCAACTTTTTTTGGATTTGCCAAAATGACCAACTAAATCGCAATGCGATCGATAATTCGCAACGCGATCTCCGGTATCGCAAATCAGTTTCCAGATTCGCAACGCGAACATCGACTATCGCAACGCGAACTTCGACTATCGCAATGCGATTTTCCAAATTCGTTGCGATAGTCCAAATTCACGTTGCGATTTATTCCAAATTCGTTGCGATAGTCCAAGTTCGTTGCGATAGTCGAAGTTCGCGTTGCGATTTATTCCAAATTCGTTGCGATAGTCCAAGTTCGCGTTGCGATTTATTCCAAGTTCGTTGTGATAGTCGAAGTTCGCGTTGCGATTTATTCCAAGTTCGTTGCAATAGTCGAAGTTCGCGTTGCGATTTATTCCAAATTCGTTGCGATAGTCCAAGTTCGCGTTGCGATTTATTCCAAGTTCATTGCGATAGTCGAAATTCGCGTTGCGATTTATTCCAAGTTCGTTGCGATAGTCCAAAATCGCAACGACTGGTGGTATTGCATTTGTTTCTTAAGAATTTTCTCTAAAAAGATAGTATTCGCGCAGATGTGTCGAAGACACGTATTACCACGACCACGACCACGAGACGAGACGGACGGCGGCGGCGGCGGCGCGTAAGAGTCCCCCTTGTTCTCTATCACTCAACAAGGAAATGGGAAAGCCAAGCCTTAAATACTATTCCCAATAGTGTTTCCAATACTATGTGGGATTGAGCATTACCAATACTTGTTCCCTATACCATGTGGGATTGAGCCTTAAATAGTGATATTATTTGTGAATTATAGTTAATGACTTTAGTATTTGTATGAAAAGTATTTGTGGTTCGTTTAGTTTTCATGCAATTCTAATTTATTTTCAATTGATTGTAATTGCATGATAACAATTTTTTTATTCTCGCGAGTGATGCAATTTTTTTTGAATGTTTTGCTTAAAATTGCAATAATCGCGATTGATTGTAGATTGACTTTTAATTATGACATATTTAATCGTATAATACTAATGCAATTGGTTGCTGATTCAGTTGTTTTAAGGTGCATGATTGTTAATTGTTTCCTGAATAATCACATAGTATTGAAAACAAGTGTTGGTAATACCCAATCCCACATAGTATTGGAAACACTATTGGGAATGGTATTTAAGGCTTGGCTTTCCCACTTCCTTGTTGAGTGATAGAGAACAAGGGGGACTCTCGCGCGCCGCCGTCCGTCTCGTCTCGTCTCGTCTCGTCTCGTCTCGTGGTCGTGGTCGTGGTCGTGGTCATACGTGTCTTCGACATGTCCGCGCGAATACTATCGTTTTAGAGAAAATTCTTAAGAAACAAATGCCTTAGGTCACGTGTATTTATGCCTTAGGTACTGTTACCATGCTTTTCATTTTATTTCAGCTTTTTGGTGTCTTGATTAGGTAGTTTTGCAGTTTTTTATATGTTGGTTATTTATATAGGCTTTAATTTAGAAATAATTAAGTTTTAGTCCTCCCAGATTTGCTATGAATGTGCATTTAGGTCACTGATTTATTTCGAATTTTACATGTTTAATTTTGCATATATTTAAATTTAGTCATTATTTCAATATATATATATACACTTTTTAAAATGTATAGTTTGACATGTTATATTTTTGTTTTTGTATTTAAGTCACATTTGTACATTATATGTTAATATGCATGGTTTATGATTTTTAATTAAAATATATGTATATAATTTTGCGTATGTCACGTTGTATGATATTTTTAATCTTGTTTAATTGATTTTGGCATGACATCTTTTTGCACAATTTGTATGATATCCTCATGTGTATAACTTGACTTATAAATACATAATCAGACTAAGGGTAATACCCTTTTAATTTAAAATTGTCTTGAGTGGCTTGTCTTAACTGATTATAAGGTCGTTTTGACCATTTTAAATTAAAAATGTATCCCGAAAGTGAAACCTAAAAAATCGATTCGTCGCCTAAAATTTGGGAATAAAAGAAAAGGAAATGTTCGTTTGTTTAAATTTTTTGAGAAAAAGTTGTTACAACTCATATAAGATCCGGTCTCGATATTTTTAAATAATCGAACATTCTTTATCTTTCTAAAACTACTCGGTAATTTTAATTTAATTTAATTTATTTGGGTGTTTTTGAATATTATTAAATTCACATCTTTGTTTTACGGGATCAAAAATCAAATTAATTTCGAATTTGTAAAGTTCATTGCAAAGACGTTAATTAATCGACTAGGTACCGATTTAGGGCGTTGTGGGGTGCTAATCCTTCCCCACGTGTAACCGACTCCCGAACTCGATTTTGGTAACACAGACTTCAACTTGTTGTTTTAATTAAAATTAATTTTTATTTAAAATGACAAAACGTTTTTGGGTGTCCAATCACACCCTAATCAAAGATTTGTGGCGGCTCTTCGAACCATATTTTTCTATTGTAAACGAAATCCCAAAATTTTTGAAACGAGAGGTTTTTTAATTTGTATTTGTTTCTAAATTAAAAATCAATTGAAAGAGATAAATTAAAAATTAATGTAATTTTTAAAATCTCACTTTACTTTTTTTAAAAACAAATCGTTTCGACACTACTATACTCCGATAAAGATGGACATCTCCAAACAAGTGTCCATCATTAGCTTTAAGCTTAGGGATCGTCACCATTGATGTAGGTTAGGGGTTGTATCTGTCATATGAACTTTATGTAACAACTCTGTGATATACTCTTTTTGGTTTAGTAGTAGACCATTTTGACTGTTAGATTACATCCCAAGAAAAAATTCTAGTTGTCCTAAATCTTTAAGAGCAAACTCATTGTTAATTATTTGCATTACGACATCCACTTCAGTCATCCTACTACCGGTGATGACGATGTCATCAACATACACCATAAGAAACACTTGTGAATCATCAGAATTTCTGATAAACAATGAAGAGTTAGCTTAAAAAAATAATAAAATCCAACTGAGCCACCAAAAAGGCCTTCAGAGTATCGAACCATGTTTTGGGTGCCTGTCGAAGTCCACAAAGAGCTTTCTTCAAACAAAAAACTAGGTCCTTAAAATGTTCTCCTCTTTATTCAAATCCTGGGGGTTGTCTCATGAAAATTACCTAAAAAAGCTTTCCATTTAGAAAAGCATTTTTTATGTCTGTCGAATAACCCATTTCTTCATCACAGTAGTGGCCAAAATAATTCTTATAGTGTTGGCTCGAACAACAGGATTGAACGTCTCAGAAAAATCTCTCCCTACAGTTTGTGAGTAGCCTTTAGCTACCAAGCGGGCCTTGTATCTGTCAACTGTTCCATCAGCTTTATTATTTACTTTAAATAACCATTTGCAACCCACTGCTGCTCTAGCTGGAGGTAGTGGTTGTAACTCCCAGGTTTGGTTCTGCATAAGAGTAGAATATTCTTGTTGAACAACATCTCTCCAAGCTGGATGACGAAGAGCCTCATACACATCAACTGGCTCTCGGTTATCCAATTCAGCAATGAGTACTTTGGGCTTAAAAATTATAGATTTTCCTTGAGTGATCATTGAATGATTATTGTAAATAACTCTTGAAGTACTAGTGATTGTGGATGGATGACATGGTGGTGGTGATGAAGATGGATGTGGGGATAGAGGTGATGGTATAGAAGGGGATGAATGATATGGATGAGATGCATTTTGTGACGGTGAAGATGCTTGTGGTGATATTTGTGGAGATGAAATAGCTTATATTGGACCGAGAGATGAAGATGGAGAATGATGTGAAGAGGATGATGATAAATGTGATGGAGATGAATGGAATGAGTCATATGAAGGTGGCGATGGTTGTAACCAATTTTGTTGTGGTGATGTTGGTTGAGATGATTGGTGAGAAGGTGATGAGGTGATGATTGTAACGATGTACTATGAATAGGTAAAACATTAGACTCAGTGGAAGAAACATTAGGATAACAAGTTTGTGGTGGTGTTTGAGACATAAGTAGAGGTAATGGCTGATGAGATAACCACTAACTATATTGTTTTGAAGACCCTGGAGATAAAGAAAATATAGCTTGTTTTTTGAAAAAAAAAAGTGAACTAAATTAAATTTGATTTCTATAGAAGGTTTTTGACCACTGAAAGAAGAAGAAAAACTATGTTCAACTCGATAAGGGAAATCAGTCTCCTCAAATTTAACATTTCTATATATATATATAAAATATATAAATGACCACTAGTATGTAGACACTTGTACCCTTTATGGGAGGGTGAATAACCTAGAAAGACACATTTCGAAGTTCTAAATAGAAGTTATGTTTTTTGTATGGTATTAATAATAAGTAACATGTACACCCAAAAATCCTGAGAAAACTATAATCAGGACATTTACCAAATCATTTTTTATAAGGAGACATACCTTCAAGAACTCTTGTAGGAAGTCTGTTAATCAAAAATATTGCACTGAAAAACACAATGTTAAGGATAATGAGGCTTGTGCAAGCATGGACAGACCAACTTCAACCACTTGATGATGTTTTCTCTCCACTATGCCATTCTTTTCGGATGTGTGAGGGTAGGACATACGATGAGAAATTCCTTGTTCTTTCAAGTATGAATGTAGAGTACCAAACTCACAATCGCCATCCATTTGAAACACTTAAGTTTGACATTAAATTACCTTTCAACCTGTCTAAGAAACTGAGGAAACACTGTTTTAACTTCTGACTTTTGTTTAAGAAAATAAATTTAGGTATATCTACTTTACACATCAGTAAATGCTACATAATACCTGAACCCATTAAAAAAAGTAATGGACCCAAAGGTCAACCAAAATTAATTCTAAAGGTTGTGAATAAATTGTATGAGAGTCATAAAATGACAATTCTAACTGACATGCTTCACACAAAACTTGCTCTTTATTGATGCATATAGGTGTTATATTACAATGTTTTAGTGCAGTATGCAATACCTCTTTCGAGGGGTGACCCAACCTCTTGTGCCAAGTTTCAAGAGAGACTTCTAGAGTACTAACTAGATTACAACTCACAATTGACTTATTAACAACAATAGTTTTATTACTAATAGTTTGAACATGATTATTTGTGGATAAATCTAGCATGTATACACTATCAGTTTTACTTGCCTTTAACAATACTTTATGAGTACGAAGATCACGAATTTAGCAGAAGTTAGAATAAAACTGAAGTAGAATATGATTGTCCTCGGTAAATTTTGAAACGGAAAACAAATTTTTAATTATTCTAGGAACAAACAAAAGTTTTTTTAGATAAAGATTATTATAACACGAACATATTGATGCTTAACTTATTTATTTTATTGGGATTGTATCTCCATTATCTACTCTAACGTTACATGAACCCATCTATGCACTGCCAACCTGAAGATTGCTAAAATCCTCGGTGAGATGATGAGTGGCTCCAGATTCTGGATACCAAACGTTATCGTCCACGATTTCTGGTATAGCAATGAGAGCCTACGAAGCTATGCGGGGTTGTAATATGACAATAGTCTGAAGAGGAGTCACACATTAAGGTGTTGTAGGAACAGCATAATATGATATTAGTTGTGTTCCAATATGAGGAAAACCAGCAGTAAATGAAGTGTTATTATAAGCAGTCAAAACAAGTGCAGAGGTAAAATAAATAGGATTACAGTGAGTTTGAGCAGAATCAAAACCAATAAGTGAGCAGGTATTAGCTTGAGCATATGCAAATGACTCAATACCCTTATTATGATTCTTTTTATTGTTGTATTATGCATGGGATGAAAAGATTCATTCTTGAAGCTAGAGTCAAACCTATAGTAACATCTTTCTACAAGATGTCTTATTCTGCCATATAATTGACATTGAGGTCTAAAGGAGTATCTTTCACCCCTACCCCTACTTGTATAACTATTCCATGCATAATTATTCTGAGCAGCATTGACAGTATATTGTTGATCCACAATTTTGTATTTAACATGAGTAACACTAGAAGAAACTTGTTCAGTTTGAGTAGTAATATGAGCACAAGTAGAGACATGATTAAGTAAATGAGACTTCCTGGTGTCAGCATCCAACAGTATATTATTGACAGATATCATACCAGGAGGTGTAGGACTGACAGTTATAACAGATTCATATTCAGGTGACAAGCTATTTAAAATAGCAATGATTTGTTCATGTTCAGATATTAGTTCACCACAGTTAACAAGTTTATTACAAATAGATTTAACACTCAAGAAAAAATCTTTCATGCTAAGGTCTCTCTTTCGTTGAGAGCGTAACATTCTTCTATATTACATCAGTCTAGAAGTGGTTTTACAACTATACAACCTATGCAAGGTATTTCAGATTTTAGAGGTTGTATCAAGTCCTATTAAGTGATATAAAACCTCCTCACTCACTGTAGAAAGTAATCAAGACGCTAGAGTCCCATTTTGCTCATCATATATTTCATACTCAGGGTTCAAACTTACAACACCATCCCTATTAATGTACTGAGTTGGAGTAGTGACATTACTGTCAATGAATATCTATAATCTATGAGTTTTTATAGTTGAGAAAACATGTTGATGCCATAGAAGATAATTGTTGTCATCTAAAGTTCCGTTTCTCTTCTTAGTAGAGAAAATCTTATTAACATGTTGAAGGAAAATATAACACGAGTTATTAATAGTGGCATTAGGAAGACTTAGATCTGGTGAGCTAGCATTTCCATCAGTGTTTGTCATGATAATAAGCAACAAAACACAGCAGAAGAACATAACAAGATGAATCAATCAAACAGATTCACACGCCTAAAAAGAATAGTTACAACAAAAATCAAAACATGAAATAACGTGAAACAGTCTCATTGAAAGATTGAAGAACGATGAACGAAAGATGAGATTCACTCAAACAGTTAGCAATCAAATACCTAACAAACGAACGAGCTGTTGAAAGTATTAAAATGGTTTTCAAGTTTGGTAACCAACTTTGAAAAAAATGATTTTCAAAGTTCGGTAAATGTTTCTTTGAAAATGGTTTTCAAAGTTTGGTAAATGTTTCTTTGAAAAATAGTTTTTCAAAGTTTGGTAGATGTTTGTTGAAAAATGATAATGGGATAATCACAATTAATCCCTAGGTTTTAGGGTATTTACAAGATTAAGTCCTTAAGTTTCAACTATAAATACCCTAGCTCATTTAGCTTCAAAACCATTCCAAAAAATCATTTCTTTCTCTCAATACTAGAGAGTTTTCTTGTGAGTAGTGAGTGTTTTGTAAACACCTGCAAATTTTCTCTCTTAGTAAAAGATCTGCAGCAGTCCGGAGACGTAAGCAAATTGGCTGAACTCCGTTATCAATTTCGGGTATTATTTTTCCGTTTTTATTTCGCATTCTCACTAATCTGGTTATAGGGAAATTATTTGTACTTGGTTTATTTCCTAACAACTGATATCAGAGCTTTTGGGTTGTGAATTTTGTCAATTTTTTGCGAAGTTACTATTTGGGTTACTATTCATGTGAATAGTGAATTTCGTGAATAGTGAAATTCGGTCGGCGATACGAGTTTGTTGACGGAGGTGTTCTAATACACGGCGGTTTGCAAAAATTGTCAGAAACGATCCAAACGAAGCCAGATTCGAGTGGGAGCGATGGCTACAGACGAAGGGAATGTGAAAATTGAAAAGTTCGATGGTGCGGACTTTGGATTTTGGAAGATGCAAATTGAAGATTTTCTATACCAGAAAAATCTATATCAACCCCTCTCAGGAAAACAACCAGAGGGCATGAAGAATGAAGACTGGGCTCTTCTCAACAGACAAGCCCTCGGAGTTATCCGACTGACGTTATCCCGCAATGTTGCTTGCAACATAGCAAAGGAAAAGACCACAGCGGGTCTTATGACGGCTCTCTCCAGTATGTATGAGAAGCCATCGGCCTCAAACAAAGTTCATTTGATGAGGCGATTATTCAATTTGCGGATGACGGAAGGGCATCGGTGGCACAACACCTAAATGAACTCAACACAATCACAACACAATTGAGTTCAGTGGAAATTGAATTTGATGATGAAGTTCGAGCTTTAATTCTTTTATCATCTTTACCAGACAGTTGGAATGCTACTGTTACAGTAGTCAGCAGTTCATCGGGAAACAGCAAATTAAAATTCGATGATGTTCGGGATCTGGTACTGAGCGAAGAAATTCGACAGAGAGAATCGGGTGAAGCATCAACCTCCTCAGCCTTGCACACGGAGTTCAGAGGGAGAACTTCATAAAGACATTCAAATCGTGGCAGATCGAAATCCAGAAGGGGAAAATCAAGAACAGGAAATAAAGATTTTACCTGTTATAATTGCGGCAAGAAGGGCCACTTCAAAAGAGATTGCCGAGCACCGAAGAAAAATACTAGCTCACAGGAATCTGCCAACATGACGGAGGAGACAGGTGATGCCATGATTTAAGCGTCAACAGTCAAATTGAATTATGGATTTTGGATTCAGGGGCATCTTTCCACTCCACGCCATGCCAAGAAATCATGGAGAACTATGTCAGTGGTGATTTTGGGAAGGTTCATCTTG